TACTTGCCATATTATTTTTTAAAGGATTCTTATTTAGAATAAAATTTGGTATTCTAGTTAATCACATGAACTCTTGTATTTATTATTAATCAATTGTCTTTTCATAGTTGATTGTGACTTCTTGTTGTCAAAATATATTTTATTATATCAAATTAGTGAACAAAGATGTTTAGTTTATTATAAAAATGTTTAGTTTATTATAACAAAAGCATATAAAATATAAAAGATTGTTCAATGTAAGTATAGAATACATACAATTTTAAATCTACAAACATGCAAAAAACAATCAAGACAAACATGTTTTCAACATAAATATAATAAAAAGAATATTAACATGCATGCTAAATATATAGTTAAACTTGCAATTTATATAAGATCAAAGTTCTAGCGTGTATACTAATAATAAAAATAACAATATTTCAATTAAAACAAAGAATGATATTTACTTGTTGAAGTACTTTAAATGAATGAAATTTTTGTTATTGTCAATGATAAATTATTTTTTTAGGTTTTATTACTCCTTACTTATGCAATTAGGATATTTTGAAATATAACTTTCAAGATTTCAACAATACTATATTAATTTCGATGCACTTCTAAATAAGATCTTTGAACCACAGAACTCAAGTATTTCTCGACAAGCTATGAGCTTAAACTTTAGATTTGAAAGAAAAAATTGAAGTATAAAAGAGAATGAAAATATTAAAAAAAAATAAAGTGAGAAAGAGAGAAAAAAATCTAAAAAAATAAGTTAGAAGCTCTTCTTTCAACCATTTTTTTATAATGAATTTTAAGAGTTAAGAGGTTTAAGAATTAATTTTTACCATTATGAATCTTTGATTAGCCATGGTAAATAAATGATTAAATTTTAAAAAATCAATAATTCTTTAAAATTAAATTTTTATTTACCTATAATTTATTTAAATCATGTTAATTAAATAAATTTCCAACACTTCTAACCCTTGTGATCAATAATGACCTCTAATTTTTTTATCAATAGCGTCTTATCTTTTCTATTTGATTTTTTTATTTTAGTTTGATCAATTTTAATGTTGTTGATCAATTTTAGTTTTTATTTTTTTATTAGATAATGAATCACTATTTTATTCAATTGACACATAAGTATTTATTTTTAATTTGAATATTAATATAGATCATTGAGCATTTTTCTATGAATGAAATGTCCATAATGTTTTAAATATTTACCAAATACCTGCTATCATCATGAGTATACAAATTAAGTAAGATTTATAATGAAAATCTATTCTTAAGAAAGAAAGCCATGATCAGAAAGAGAAACCCTTACCTTTACCTCCAAATATGCTAAATTTAATTCAGCTTCTCTTTATGGAGGAATGAATCAATCATAACCTTCGAGTCTTCTTTTCACGAGGATGAACTAAAAACTATCCATTCCTCATCAAGTTGAATACTTGTCTATCCATGCTCCTAAATTTATTTATTCTTTCTCCTTTCTCCACTTGAACAAAAGAAAATAAAAATATAAAAATATACAACTAATTAAATCATTTTAATTTCATTACTTTTTTTTTTGGTAAACTAATTACATTACTTATTAGTAATTGCAACTAATTCACTATTTTTTTTCTTGAAAAACGAGTCGGTGTTTTCATCGAATATTACACTGGTCGTAGGATAAAGTCAATATCATCACAATAATTAACTCGGAAGGGGCAAGCTAACAATTAATTAGCAGATATAATGTCTATTATAATCTCATCTCCGAATAAAGAAGGTGGAGCTAGTGGATATATACTAGAATACATATAAAATTAATTAATTAATTCCATGGCATAAATTTACTAGAATCTCAAGCAGAAGAGCTCTGATAGATACTCAAAGGATTACCAAAATTCTCATTCAAATGTTTTTAATGCTTAAATCCGATCTACCTCCCATGTTGAACACAGCACGTGATTGGAGGGAGCCAACAAAAGGTAAACAAAAATAATAATAAATAAAAATTGCTGGCAGCTAATAACTACGAATTCTAATAATAATATAAACACCCCATCTAATATTATACTACAATTTCTTCAAAAAATTAGTTTCATTATTATTCCTACGTCTTTAATATTCTTGGCGAACAACAACAGTGCGACACCCTAGCAAATAATACTTAACCTCGGGCCAAAAGGTACATTTACCTTTTGTCTATAAATTTCTTAGTAAATTACCAAATATACTCTCTCTTTTTTTCTGTAGCCTTGAAGATTATCTATCATGCAAGCATGGCGGAGCTAGGAATTTCAGGTTCGAAGATTGAAATTAAAGAAAAAAAATACTAAAAATCTAATTTGTTGAGGAAAGAGAGGCTGAAAAAAAAAAAGAATTTTCTTGCATGGACAGCCTCTAATTTGGCCCCAGCATGCAAGTACATTATTATCTAGCCCACATGTTAGAATATACAATTAATTAATCCACTGGGCGAATGTTGTGAATTTCTAGGATCATGCCAGGTGCTTTCACCAAATCTCGATTTACCTTATCCCTTGCTTGGTCAAAACAGTACTCTCTTTGTTTTGAGCTTTCTTGTAAAGAGCATCCTTGCAAGCTCATGAGCCGACAGTTAATTTAGAAATTAAAGTGGTTGGCAGGAACAATATTTGAATAATAAAAAATTTCGCAGGCTGCGTTTTGGTAGAAACTTGACAAGGAAGAATTCTGAAGATCAAAATCAATCCCATTCTAGAGAAGAACAAAAGTCTTATAAGAGCAGCTGTCCTGCATGGATATATAAATTATCGCAAGTAGTTACTTTATCATAATTTAGATCAGCCACTGCAGTAAGACAGCAAGGCAAACCTACCAAGCCAAGTTAAGTTACAAGCTGGCTGATGCGTATGTTCTTGCATGAAATCACGATTAAAAAAAACAAAAGAAGAAAACTTTAGCATGCAACACGTTAGTTTCTGCTTTTTAAAATGTTTTTTTTTTGTTTTAAAATATTGTTTTTTTTTTAATATATAAATTATGAAAAAATTATAAAAAATTATTATTTTAATGTATATTTAATTAGAAAACACTTCACAAAAGGGCAACCACACAATTTCATTGACACGTTGAATGATGATAAAATAGAATCCAGTTTCTGCCCTTCAACATTACAATTTCAAATTAATAAGAAACTGATTTAGTGGTGAAGCTGGTGAAAATTAATGGCATTGATGATTGACCCTCCTGACACAACTTCCATTTCGTAAATTTTTCCCCTTCGAAAACAATTGTTCAACAATTAAATGATTTTTTTTTGTTTGATCTGAGATTTTCTTTCATCTCTCAACAGCAACATCATTGCCCCCTTCCCAGAAATAAATAAACAAACCTTTCCATAACCAACCGAAATTAAGTAAAGGGAAGGTGCAGGGATGCATTGGTGATTCGTGGGCCATCACCAAGATCGATCATGGCTACCTCTTCAAATTGTTATTCTATGTGTAGTTGGTGTGGATCATTTCCTTTCACATGCTGTGATGATCTTACTTTCATTCATTAATCACGCCAAGCCAAGGAAAACTCCAGACATGCCAACTAATCAAATTAACCATAGCTCAACTTATACGTGATATTCTTATGAAATGATGCCTTGCTGATTAAACCACAGACACATCATGATGAGTTGGGATGTTATATTTTCCAGCAATAGATTTCGTAATTAGTTGATTCTCTGACCAAGCATAACTTGAACATTGGCTAGGAAATAGCACTGCCATGGGGCATCCGGATTGCCGATCAGTGGGTGATTTTCTTAAATTAAACTGTGATGCTGGGAAAATATATCGGCTTAGGTTGATAACTTTGATCTTGTCTTCGATAAGGCTTCCTTGTTGTTAATTTTGATGTAGAAGATTATTCTCAGATTCGTGAGACACAAAGAGAAACATGAAAAAAGAAAGGCTCAAATAACTTAATTGGAAGTTCGAGAAATGGAAAGAAGTGATGCTGTCTGAGAAATTAATATGTATTGTTCAACATCTTCAGTGTTTTTAAAATAGATAGGCTCGATTTCATGTCTGTTTTTCATGTGTATTATAGATTTTGTAATTAACAATAACAATTATTGTTGTCATTGGAAGTTAAATATTTTTTAAAAAACATATTTCATTTTCTTATTTTAATTTTGAATTCATTGAAAATTTAACTTTGTTGTTTATTTCGGATTTTTTTATACAGAGTTATTGTGTTCTTGAAAAAATTTCTCGATAATAAATTAGTGCTCAGTTCTATAATCATATATTTTTTTATTATATTATTAAATAAAAAAATTATTCTAGAAAAAATATAATTATAAAGAATTAAATTTCATGATATATTTTGATTTATTTTTATAATGTTATTATTATATCATAAAAAATATTCCAATATTAAATTAGTATTTGATTTTACAAGTATCTAATTTTTTATCATATAATTAAATAAAATTAGTTTTTTATAAAAAAATTATTAACTCAATAAAATTCATGACCTAACCTAGATTAACTCGAGTCTATCTATATTACCATCTTAATGTTTTTTTAAAATAAAAAATATTTCTTAAAAATATTTTTAAAATAACTATATTTTTATTAATCATTTGATTTTTTTAACTCATTAAATCGACCAGTAACTCATTAAGTCGACCAGATTATATACCCAAGCAACTTTTATACAATATAATTTTAAAGATAAACTCATTAAATCGACCAGATTATACCCAAACAACTTTTATACAATATAATTTTAAAGATAAAAAATATAATCAAGAGATTTTACATTCAACCCGCTGAGTTTAGTTAAATGACCCTGTTACCCACCATAGAGTAGTGCAAATAGTAGTGCGGGGAATTATGTAGTGTATTTGGATTTATTAGCATTAATGAAATCATATATTTTATTTTTGGATTGTCTATTTTTTCGAAGAAGGAGAGAGAAAAAGAAAAAAGAAAAGGAAAGAACATGTATAGTGATGTGATAATTAGCATGTCAATATGCAAACTTGGTAGTGAACATTGCGGGGCAACATGTTGCTCATTGATCTCCTTATGTTTCAAAAAGCATACTTTTTCCGACATTTCATTCCAGACAAATTTCTAACAGAGTTACATTCGAATTCCACGCATCATTTATTTGGGCGACGAAGGGAAACACAAGGAGATTGAAGGAAAAATGCCCGAGACTATCCTTTTCATTTATTCCATGAAGCGGAGATCTTCTCAGATATGAACTAGAAAGCTTTATACATTTGGGGGAGGCCAAATCTTGGCAAATAACTCCTCAACTCGCTTTGATTGATTAACATAACCATCCAATCCAGCAGCCAGAAGCTCCACAGATGCAGGCCCCATTGCTGATGCAAGGCTTAATTGATCCCATTTAATAAGCTGAGCAGAAAGGGAAGACGATTAAGAAAATCATTTAGCAGTAACTGATATAGAGGGCTCACTAAGATGAAGAAAACTGCAATAATTCATTGAAATGTTTTTCTTTTTCTCATCCAAGCTAAATGTCTGGGATACAACTGAGGGGGACATTTGTTTCTGGAAAATAAATATTTTCCCAATTGAAAAAGTTGGTAAGCGGAAAATAACTTATAGTCAAACTCGAAACACCTTTTTGGAAATCAAAATCTGTGCAGGAAAAATTCCTTTTTGATGTCAACCTTGAGTACCTTTAAACTTTAGAAAATGACTTACGGTTCTCAAGAGAGGAAAACATTTTACATGGGATCCACATAAATAAACAAGTTAAAAAATACTTTACAACCATCACATGCTAGCACTCAATTGGCATCCACATGAATAAATAAGTTATAAAACTCTATATAGCAAAAAGTTTTCATAAATGATCTTCATTTAAAACACCCAAACATCGGAAAATAGCTTATTTTCTATGATAATATTTCGCCTGTAAAATATTTCCCTAAATACAGATTGGTTTCTGCAAAACAAACACCCCCTAAATGAACAGATTTCTTTTGTGACCAAATCTTACTACTGTGATCATGGTTTTCTAAAACCCTACAGAAAACACATTGATAAATAAACAAAAAAAAAAATATGTGACTCAATCTCAAACAGGATGCAGATTGATAAATAAACAAAAAAAAAATATATGTGACTCAATCTCAAACAGGATGCAGATAGTTGCAAGCATAGGTTTACGTACATAAAATGGAAAGCACGTGCATCTATTGTGTTAATGGAGACAAGAATGGATACAAGAATAATGGTAGCGATTTGACTCATTGGTTGTTCTAGCATACTGGTGATGCATGATGATTATGACCTAGAGATAACAGTAGCATATCAGAAGAATACTATTATGTTGATAGGTTCAGTAAGCACTGCATGATCCAACAGTACCACGAGATGCAACATGCACATGAAACCTAAAATCATAGCTTTGTTCCCTCTTCGACAATTCTTCATGTGGTTTTCAAGAAATGCATTTTGCTTCACTCTGCTATGCTGCCTTAATTTAACATTGGAATTTGTGCATCTACAAGGAAAAAAACGAGAAGATGGAAATAAAGCAGACCTCTTCTTCACTGAAACTGTAAGCAGCAGCAGAATGTGGTGATAACCTCCGAACAAAAGAGTACTTCTCATCAGGAGTGGTTGTAGACTCTTTCAGAGATTGCATTACTTTCAATGGTGCAATGATATAGTCAACCCTGAAAAGGAGGTGGAACTCTTAAAGATAAAATACTGATCTTGATGTCTAGCTGCCCAATCCAATTTTCCAGCTAAATATGATGGGAAAAAGTGAGGTGTGTTACCCCAAGAGACTGAATAAATCTTGTTTGTTGCGAACTGCAGCAGCCATCAACTTCGATTTATACCCATATTTGTGAATGTAATTGTAAGCCTTTGTCACCTAAAATGAGTAACTATAGTATGTAAAAAGTCTTTCTTTTTTTTTCTTCAAAGAATAACTTTAAATTCTCTAGCTACTAAGATCTTGGGGATGCAGTAAAAAGCAATGGTGGTGTTAATTTATAAGTTGATCATCATCATTCATATTTGTATTAAAGCATCAATAGACTAGGCAAGTTAAAATCAATAAGCTAAAACTTTAGTGCAAATTAAGAAATCAGTAAATTAGAGATAACTATTGTTTGACTAACCAGTGCCAACCCAGGATCCTCTCCTCTTTTCAGAGCAGCTTCAATCTCAGGGTCACCAGAATGGTTCCGCGACCAATCCTAGAAGATATAAAAATGCACTTTCACAATAAACTAATGTTTCAGCAGAAAATATTGGCATCTCTCAGTAGAAAGGAATACTTACCCTAAGGCGTCCCACAAAAATCTGAATAACAGAAGCACCAGCTTGAGCGGCGGCGGCGGCTTGAACAAAGCTGAGAAACATGAGAAAACATCAATGCTCAGGAAACTTAAAAATGTATAGTCATCCTATGAGATATTGAATATCAAGACTCTGACTACAGCATTCATCTAAATAAATTACTTTTGCAAAAACATTACAGAAAGTGACTGAGAGACCAGATGTAATGAAAACAAAATGAAAACATCCAATGCCAAAAATAAGCAGGTAATCCACAAAGCATTAAAATAAAAAACTACGAATACAGTGAGAACAAAAATCTAGTAATTCAGCTGTGCATTCAAATTAAGTCAGACAATAAAACATCCACATCTAAAACAACAGATCAAAATCTATCAGGAAATAAAATTGCAGCTTGAGCAAATCATTCAGAAAATTAACACATGTACATAGTCTCATCTACTCCTTGGACGTTCTCAAAGCACAATTTACAAGATTTGTATGGAAAAAAAAATGAGTAAATGAAATGCATCCTCAAATGTCATAACTTCCAGACAATATCATCAAAATCCTAAAACATTGCTGGATTGAAACAGTATGCACACTCGCCTTGGTGCACATGTAAGTTTATCTCAATAGATAAAATAAATCACACTTGCTAATTTGACATCAATGACTTATCAGTATTTTGCTAGTTCAATATAATTTCATTGCAGATTTTTGCATGGATCTACTAGAGCAAACAACAAGTACCTGTAAACAAAAGTCAAATGCGTCTGTATGCCCTCAGACTCCAACAATCTCGAGGCTTCTATTCCCTGTGAGAAGACAAAGTAATAAGGGAAGAAAGGGATAACAAGAGCCATCAAAGTTATTTTTTCAAATATGAAAAATTCTTAAGATTGCTAGTAAATATATTATTCTCGGATACCCACTTGCCAAGTTGCTGGAATTTTGAATAACAATCGCTCAGGAGGAACATCAATTTCACTGTATGACTTCAACAAGTCATGCACCTACATATGATATGTATAAAACCACTATCACATAACATATCATGTCATCTGTTACACAAAAGTTGATATTTCTCGAGCATGCTCGTAATCCACAAGCTATGTAAAACCAAAACACACGATCAGAAATAGAAATAAGATTTTATAAGACAATTACTAAAACCAACAGCCGAATTGGAGTTTGACTATTTTCTATAAAAGTTAAAAGGTGTTACCTTTCTAATAATGCCATGGGTGTCATAAGCCAACCGCGCATCCACTTCAGTTGAAACTCGGCCAGGTACCAATTTAGATAAATCACCTCCAACATTCACCAAAGCCTATACAACACCAGCAACCCACGGCATCAATCCAACAAACAAAGTTCACATTACATGTATTTCCTAACAAGCAATCATAAAAATCCAACAAAACAAACCTTGTTAGCGAAACAAGACAATCTCAGCACATCGTTTTCAAGAGAAGAACACCCTGAATCTGCCAATGCGGTGTCCACAGCACTCTACAATTAAACCAAATTTCTAAAATCTATTTCTCACACTAGCATCGATCAAGATAAAAACAAGAATCCAAAATTTGATACTAAATGTTTGCTTACTCTGAATATTGTATCGGGCAGGCTACAGATACCCAAAAGAAGTGAAGAGCTAACGGTAGCAGCAGTTGGAGGAAACCTGTATATACATATAACAACCAACATTAGCGGGGGGTGTCAATAAAAGCAGCCCAATTAAAGGAAGGGGAAAAAAACAACAAATATACTTCTGGAAATCATCGAAAACGACAGTATCAGGCACGATCTCACTCAAGCTAGACACAGCATCCAATTCAGTGCTAGCACCTATAAAAAAGGGGGGATCCAAAATCAGTAAAGAGTTGCAGTTTAATAAAACGGGATATGGAGAGAGAGAGACCAGCATCAAGAGAAGAAGCACGAATTTGAGGAAATGAAGGGTTATGGAGCTTGAAAAAAATAGCATTCGAAGATAGCGATCCACTGAGTAACCTCAGTCTCCCTCCTCCTCCTCCTCCTCCTTTCTGTTTTCAAAACAAAGATCAGATAAATGAATGATGAAGCTATAAATAAATGCATTAATTACACAATAGTGATTACCTGGAGGAAGGAGGATTTGGAGGATAGAGCAGAAGAGAGCGGAGATTGCAAGGAGAGTGACATTTTCTTTTTGTTTTGTTTCTTCAATGTTCTGTTCGAGAAGAGAGATTGTATATATAGTACTGTACTTCTTTTTTTTTTTTTTCTTCTTTGTTATTTAGTTTAAAAATGAGTTAACGCTCCATTTGTTTACAATTTTTTTTTAAGTTAATTTAAAAAAAATAAAGATCAAATCTAAAAATTTTTTTTTTTCCTTCTTTATTATTTAGTTTAAAAATAAGTTAAGGCTCCATTTGTTTACAAATTTTCTTTTTTAAGTTAATTTTAAAAAAAATAAAGATCAAATCTAAAAAAAAATAAAGAAATTAAAATAATAATAATTAATATTTTAATAAGTATTTCAAATAAAATAAGTAACAATCAATAAGTATTTCATGTAAAATAAGTAACAATCAAAAGAATAAGGATCAAATTTGATAGATAAAGAAAACCACTTTTTAGAAAACAAACACACCCAAAAAAGAAAACATTTTTATGAAAACCAAGCCAAATTTTTATTTGACTGAAAAGTGTTTTCTGTTGACTAGAAAGTGTTTTTCATTGACTGGAAAGTGTTTTTCATTAACCAACTTTTCTAATGGCAAACAAATACAAGAAAGTTTGAAAATGGTTTCCCGGAAACTACTTTCCGGGAAACAAACATGGCCTAAAATAATATATTTTTTTATTTTAAATTTATTTTTATAATAACATATTAAAATTATTAAAAAATAATAAAACAATGGTTTAGACGCAATGAAAAACAAGCATGTATTGATTTATAATAATGTTCCTAGATTTTTATAATTTATTTATAATATTTTTATTTTTATTTTTATTGAAACCTGACTTAGTCTCGGTTCATCCATATTACAAATTAAATTACTAAGTTGGTTGGGTTTTAAAATAGTGATTTTTCATATTAAAAAATGATGTCAGTCTATAATAATTTTTTAAATTCATGAGATGAATTATTAGACTAAAAACGCCTTATATGAAACAATCATAAAACTCAATTATTAACCAGTTAAATATTGTATAATTAACATGGAAAAAAAATTAATTACATAAAAGGATCCCAAACAAAAAAAAAAGACAATAAAAATAACATGGATCAAAATTTAAATACAAAATAAAATTTATTTTTAAATAAAAAGTGAAATTAAAAAGAAAATCAATTATGCAAAAGGACCAAAAAAATCAAAAGAATGAGGATCAAAGTAAAAAAAAAAATTCTTTTATTAAAGGGTAAAATTGAAAAGAACAATCAATTTAACAAAAGGCTTAAAAGAAAAATAATAAAAAAAATAAGAACAAAAGTGGTATAAATAACATATCACAAATTAAGATTGAAGGATGTAATTTAAAACAATTCAAAATTTTACAAAAAAATAAAAAATAAAAAGAATAAGGATCGAAGTTGATACCATCATACATCAAAGGACAATTCTAAAACATTTCATTGGCAACACGGTTTCTAAGTTAAGGAGAGAGAGAAGTGAGAAAAGGTCATCAGCATTGATGTATCAACCCAACATCACTATATGCTTCTTCAATAGGAAGAGAATGACGCGATGCTTTTAATAACATAATGAAAGCTGATTTTTTATCACCATAAAGTGTCGCACGCACCTTTTGAAGTGCACAGGTGCCTTCCAAATGCCACCTTTCAAACGCCAGCATTTGCATTACACATGTTAACTACTTTTCTTTTTTAATATGTTTTATATTTACTCAAAGACTAAATTACCCCTTACCTAATTTGATTGTTACCAAAATCTTGTATGAAAAGATAGAAGTGCCATTGGACTCTATTTTTAAATTTTTTAAATCCACTAGTACTTTAGTTTGTATCCAATTATATTTTAGTCCTTTCATTGTACTTTTAAAATGGAAAAACACCAACTTACCCCCAAACAACTAAATAATGATTAAATGGGATTTGTACTACAACCATCATACACTATTAGTTCAAGGATTTTCTATAAGAAGAGAAAATCCACAATTAAATTGTTTTAATGAATAGTGTATAAGAGTTTATATAAACAATAGTTCTCCAATCTCTATTAACTTTATTAATGAGTTTAACAAAATGATATCTTATTTGTCGAAGAAAATAAAAAGATCATTAACTCTTATATTAAAAGGACTGTGGTAAAACCCCAACTCTTTCATATTTTACCCTAAAATGAAACTACCATCCATTTTCTCTATCTTTTATTTTATTTTGGTATCTTTCAATCTCACTCTCCCCAAACAAATTAGTTAGCATTGACCTACAATTCAGCTAAAAAAAATACTAAAAAAACTTGTAAACCATCCATAGTGTTTCGTGAGGGGATTCACAAAGCATTTTGCATATTGGATTTCCCTCATCTTTTAAATGTACTTACTAGTTTTGTACTTGCAATTTCTCATGGGTTAAAATTTTATTCTAGTAAAAAAATAAACATGCAAGCTTTTCAATGCATTTTTAGATATAAAAAATTCTTAATCATAAATTAAAATGCTTATACACCTATCTAACTAATTCAATCGATGTTTGATTAACAAACAACTAAAATTAAAATATTTGATCTTAAAACATAGGTCATGTACTAAGTTTTGATCAATAACTATTTATCTTAGAATATATTTTTTATTTAATCAAATGATTTATTTGTGCGAGTAAAAGGTAAAAAAAGTCTCAAATAAAAGCAAATTGAATAAAATTATGAAACTCAACTATAAAACAACTTAATGTTGAATAATGAAATTAAAAAAATATAGGTTAACCCACTTTAACCCAACAACCCCACTACGTTAGGCACATGATTAAGATAACTCAATAAAAAGAAAATTAAAAAAAAAAGAGCACGAAGACAACTCTAAAAAAAAAAAATATTGAAGAATGAAACTGAAAAAAAACTTCAAAAAGAACATAAAAAAGACCTTAGCCAATTAATGTTAACCTTTGAAATTCATGAGCGTGATCATGAGTCAGAGATTGATCGTGCAGAAGGTAAACCCAAATAAATAACAAAGCAAAATTCTCAATAAAAAAATATTGAGGTATGAAACTGTAAAAAAAAAAAAAACTAAAAATCAACAGTAAAAACTCGAAGTCAACCCAAGTTAACACATTAGCATCGCGACCATGAGCATAGGATTTGAATAAATCTATGGAAAGAAAAGCGAAAAAAAAAGCATGAAAATAAATTCCATAAAAATTAAATATTAAATAATAAAATTAAAAAAAAACTATAAAAGACTTTAATGAATATCAAAGTCAACCCATGTTAACCTTAAAAAATCATGGCTCAATAAAAAAATACAAAGGGATAAAGTTGAAAAATACCATAAAAAAAAGTCCAAAACAAAATAAACATCTAAAAAAAATAGGGGTGATATTCGATATGAAAAAAAATTAAAATCAATTGATAAGAAATGAAATTGAAATAAAATTTAATTAATGAAAGGATTAAGAAATATCAATAGCATAAGGATAAAATTTAATATAAAAGTCAAATGCAACATAATAACTAGAGATGAAATTAAAGGAATAAAAAAAGATAAAAAATAAATAGAAATAAAAAAATTGTTTATAAAATATAAAGAGTAGGACACTCTTATATTTCTCCCAACTACTTTTTATTTTTATTAATATTTTATATTTATAAAAAATCAAGTTGCCAATAAGTACAAGAAAAAAAGAGCCTTGGAAGGAACCTTTATTTTTTAAAATTTAAAAATATGTTAAAATAATATTTTTTATTTTTTTAAATTTATTTTTCATATTAGAATATTAAAATTATTTAATAAATATAAAAAAATTAATTCAATTGTTTTTTAAAATAATAAAACAATGATTTAGGTGTAATGTTATACATGCATATGCAGATTTATAATAATGTTTCTAGATTTTTTTTTATTGAGCTATGATTTTAAAAGGATGAAACTTAAAAAATAATAATTTTAAAAAGAATACAAAAAAACTGTAGTCAACTAATGTTAACTTTTAAAACTCATGAGTATGGTCATAAGTCAAAAATTGACTTTGTATAAGGTAAACTAAAAAAAAAAAAACAAAGCAAAATTCTTAATAAAAAAATATTGAGGGGTGAAGCTATAAAAAAATAATTAAAAATTAATAATAAAAAATATGAGTTAACCTAGGTTAATATGTTAGCACCATGTCTATGAGGATATGATTTGGATAATTCTGTAGAAAGAAAAACAAAAAAAAACATAAAGATAAATTCTATAAAATGAAGCTATAAAAAAATAATAAAAAATATAAGTCAACCTAGGTTAATATGTTAGCACCATGCCTATGAGAATATGATTTGGATAATTCTATAGAAAGAAAAGAAAAAAAAACATAAAGATAAATTCTATAAAATTTACATAGTGAATAATAAAATTATAAAAATTATAAAAATCACCTTAATGAACACCAAAGTCAACCTATGTTATCTTTCGAAAATCGTGATTCAATAAAAATATATAAGGAATGTAATGGAAAAAAGTAAAATAAAAAAATCTAAAACAAAATAAACATCTAAACAAGGAATATGAATCAAATCTAATATGAACCAAAAAAAATAAAATTTGATGATGAAAAATGAACTTAAAATAAAATTTAATTAGTGAAAGGATTAAGAAATATAAAAAAAATAAGGATAAAATTTGATATAAAAATTAAATGATATATAATTACTAAGAATGAAATTGAAGGAATAAAAAAATAACAATAAAAAATAAAATTATATATAAAATATAAATAGTTGAATACTCCCGATCACGTTTTATTTTTATTAATATTTTATATTTATAAAAAATGAATTTACCAACAAATACAAAGAAGAAGAGGCCCATCTTCTATTTTTGTTTCTTTACAGGGCTGTTTAGTAATTAACCTGCTAAGAAAAATCAAATGTCTAAAAGACCCTGGATACAAAATAATGCCTTTTCAGTTTCTAGGTTAATTAAGTCATACTGTTTATAAAGGAAGTAAACGATCGGTTTTGCCCCATCAAGGTTACAATGACTAATATATCCTTAAAAAAAAATCAAATTACCTCTTAATTTATTAGATTTGGGGCTATTCTGTGTGGACAAAGTGGAGAAAGTACTGTTCATATCTACAGTACTTTCTCCGCAGGACTTAGATTCTGTTAATAATAATAATAAGCCCTGACAGCGAGTCAATTGCAAGAACACTATTAACAGGAAAAATGAAGGCTCACAGATGCAGCCACCCCAAAAGTATCCAAGTAGCCAACAGCCAAATACCCTGTTATCAGCTGACAGCAAGAAGAGGTCATCATTCCCTAACAGCAAGCATCCCCAGGAACATTCATTGCAGCAGGAAACAATATCTAGTTTTCTCGATTAGTAGAGCACGAATAGGAATCGATTGTCAATGGCAGTGAGCTCCTGCGCCTGCTCCAGCTGCTGACTCAAGGTAAGAACTCATTTTAACTTCAGACAACAACAGTTTTCTGATACAAAGCAACCATTTTACCATAAAGTCAAGACCATAAATAGAAAACCAGTGGGAATAGGAGAGCGGCGATCGAAATAGATGGGGAGTTTGCATAGCATGCATGGAGGCAAGTCCAAAACCACCGAAAATTGCAGTATAATAACTGCTCGCAGTGACCGCAGCATAAGATTCCAGTAGCAAGACTAAAGACTGTAATTCATAGCATCTTTCATAAACACCTGCTTTGAGCTCAACCTTAACATCTCTGATATTTTAAATAAAGAATCTACTGGATATAAGCTTAAACTTAAAAGCAAAAATGGCTTTACAAGTTGAAACGAGGTAAAGGGGGTAAATTGACGGTAATTTAAAACCACATCTCTAAATTACTGGTCCAAGATGCAAAATAATGAAGTATAAAATATTAACCATTTGCATCGACAGCCTCTTTATTATGCAAAATATCTATAAAATATTCAAAATAATATCTATAAAATATTCAAAATCAAATCTCTAAATTATCTCTGCATGTCATCAGATGGTCCTCCTATTATTCAGGATGCATCCACCTTCTTCCATGTCACCAGGGAATTGAGAAATTTCATCACCTGAAGTATTGTCAAGTTTCCACCATAAGATTTGGCAAGAAAAGCGAAAGGAGATTGAGATAAAGATGGAAAGTTTATGGAAGACAAATGATAAAAATTTGAACCTCCGATGGATCTCTGAGAGAGTAAACTGCATTGGTTTCTTTGGGTCTAGATGACACCAAAATTCCACAACCTCGATTCCCCTCCCGGAGCACCTGGTTTTAGACCAAAGTATCACATAGAATTAAACACAAATCTTTCCCACTACATGAAAATTAAAATCTTGTCAAGATTACATGATCTTTCACTACCTTGAATGCATCTTCATCTGTCAGATCATCACCAATATAAATTGGGAGTACATCATCTCTATTACTTAGACCTGTGCCTCAGTAAATGAGGTACAAATGGTTAATAACCTTAGGAAAAACAAATCTATATCACCTAGGATGTTTAGAATCGGCAATCTCACCTAGAGATTCAAGCAAAAATTCAACTGCTTTTCCTTTATTCCAGTCAATCATTGGACGGACCTCTAAAACCTGAATACACAGCAAAGCGAGTGTAAAATCATATTTTCAAGAAAGCAGCATATAGATAAGATCATATCACCAAAATCAGTATCTAGCAAACAATAAGAATACCTTCCGTCCATGAGTTTTTCGCAAACGAGGATACTTATCTAAAATATCCTGAACACATTGTGCAATAGATTGCCAGTTCTGAAGTCAAGTACAAGCAGGACACATCTTAGAACTTGGCCAAACGAAAAGTCATATAATGGAGATGTCTCAATGACAAGGATATTTCATCCATAGAACAACAGTGACCTACCTTCTCATCTACATTACGGAAATGTACAGAGACGCAAAATTTATGATTCTCAACTTTTGCACCTTTGATCCCCTTAGTATCCTCGACAAGGGTTCTAAAAACCTGGGTGAAATTCAAGGTAGTCAGTTTACCCTCTTAAATAATGATGAGAATTTTATGTTTTATACATGAAAAGCAACACTGTGCACCTCATCGATCATAGGTATAAATTCTCTAGCGGGCTGAAACAGATTCACCTCCTTGCCCTATGAAACTCAAACAGAAAGTACAACAATTTATTTAGTTTGTAAAAAGCAGGTTCAACAGGATATAAAACCCCTGGAGTCTAATTTTGCAGGAAACATGAGGAGAAATACATACACAAAGAGCCAGTAATCTGATACCTGTTGGTCAGTAGTTGATTCATTACAGTTTGGATGGTCATTGGACACCGCTTTTCGTACAGGGCCCAAGATGTCCATCCCATGACTACCAGCATAATACAATTCTGCTAGTCCTACAAGCTGATAAACCTGGAAAAATAGAGTAGCTTAGCACAATGGCAACAAGTTATAATTATACTAGAAACTAAATAGAACATGTGCATAATGGGGAATTCTCCTCTAACCTTGTCACGACTTCTTCCACTAATAATCGCCGTTGGGAAATATTTTGCAAAGTTTCTTACTGCAAAACGCATCTGAAACAGTTCTCAATTTAAAGATGCAAACACCAAATGGTAAAAGATAAAAAAGAAAGAACATGTTGAACATTCAGCAAATTATGAACAATTCTTACATCATCAGACATAAGGGCATTATCTGGGTCATCTACTATTGGAGAGAGAGTACCATCATAGTCTAGAAACATTGCTATCCTTTTGTTTTTGGCAAAATTTGCAATTTCCTCAAATGAGTTGAGTGCTGATGGATGCTTGAGCTACACAATCAGAAAACAAAGAAAAGAAATGACATACAAGCAGAACATAAACCACCCACCATACATACTTTGAAGAGCACAACTGTGGCCTAGAAATTAAAATTCTGATTTTTTAAGCATATTGCCAAACGAATTGGCCAACAATGAAGCAAGCATTACCATCCAGGTGCTGTAAGCCGTGTCAGCACCATCCATAATGAGCTTCTTGCGAGGGGGTGATGAGGATTTCATGGCATCCAGACATGCATTCGAGCAGACTTCATCAAGTTTCCCAGGCTTTTTTCTAGGAATGTTTCTATACTTGCTAGAGGAGAGTGATCCTCCCGATGGTGCGTAAGGCAACAAATTAGAATGGATGCCGAGCCTTGACTTGTTTATTGGAGCAGGATCAGTGAGAACAGGAGAAGAATGGTTTGACTCGATGTCCATAGTAGCCAGATTACTTGGTAGTACTTGTGAAGAATGAATTATGATACCAACAAACACTTGACCAAACAATAATTTGTGCACGTTATACAAAATGCCTTTTACCCAACCCTTTTATCAATGAAAAACCACCTCTTCAATGTTTTCTTGTCGCTGCTACTGGGAAAGCTGTTCATCAAGCAAGCACTTCCTGAGAACTGGCCATCACAGCAAAGAATTAAATTTCAATGAAAATTTACATCAAAATATGAATGTATGCCTAAACAGAACCTAAATTCATACCTTGTCATCTCCAAAGCTACACAACATTTGATGGGTGGCAGAACATTATTTGCACTAGGATTTTCAAGAAATGAAAGAAGGGTTCCAGCAAAATGCACCAGAAATATCTGTTCAAAAGATCAATGAAAGATGCGTGTTTAGTCTTGGGAACTTGCTTGCTGCACAAACGCGTCTGGAATCTTTAGACAGATTGAAACTACCAGCATTCAAATAAAATGGACTCGATTTGTCTTCAAGAAATGCAAAAGTTGACCGTACCAATGTTCAGATACTGACCACCATTAATGGTAGAGCAAAGAGAATAGCTTGTCCACATCGATATCAAAGTCAGCTATCCTCATGATACCGACTTTGATATTAGAATTTTCGAGTCTTAAATGCACACAACATTTTATTAAAAAAAGATGTCAAGATCATAGGCCTAACACATCATATAATACCCTGACAGGTTCTTAAAGCTGAATTCCGATGGACATTATCTATTTTGCCCTGCAAAAAGGACAGGTATGTAAAGAAAATAAAAAGAAAGAGACAGCAACCTGTTACCTTAACATTTTATCATATATATCAGCTTAAATATATGAATTTTCTTGCTTGAGCAAATAATGCAAACGAAAAGCAACTACGCAACAAAACAAAACAAATATGAAACCAATTCCTATCAAGTAAAATCCCAATCGCCTCAAAATCAAAACTTGAGTAAAACGTGATATATAGGCCAAAACACATCCAATATGCTTAGGTGGGGAAAATCAAGATTCATTATTGCAACAATAAAAAACGTTAACCTTATCTTTACGTTCTTCACGACCTCAAGTGACTAACATTGTTAACCAAAAAAAAACATTACAGTAACGATGATACTCGACAGCACAGTACTCGCTACAGACACGATAATAATTATAAAATCCCAGAACCAAGTATATAATTGATAATTAGCTAATATAATTTAAATTATCTCTGAAAATTCTCCACCTCTTCCACTTCGATGATTTGTTCATCTAGATTCACTCGAGCATCAAGAAGATAAAGATGACAAATAATTCTGGGATTTTCCAATTTGATGATGATACAATGATATCTGTGTGGCCAATGAGCATGTAGCTCGGGATCTCTCAATTAAAAGAAATGGTCCTGTATATGTGTATATGACACAAAAGGCTATACTACGTGGGGCTTTCCACATGTAGATCTAATATACATCATTTTCAATGTCCATAGTTCTTTCATAAATCAAAATCAACTAATGTACAGATTGCAAAACGAAAAATTCATTTTTCTGCAACGATCAACCACCAGAAGACCATACAAGCCGACCCCACCACGACATACGTAGTAAAAACTTTCAGCTAATGTTTTCTTTTAATTTATTAACTTTCTCTCGTATTAGCTCCCTCCAAATCGACGTGTTTAATTTTTTGTTTTTGGGGTTTCTTTTATGTGTGAAACACCGGTGGGAGACTTTTTCATTCCCGAATATGTAATTAACAAAATCTTTGTCATTATCGCACAACTATTACCAGGCGAAAACAACTTCACAGTATCGCAAAGAAATCTAAACTGTGTAGACAGCATACAGAGCTTTCTTTTCCCATTACAAGGTCATTGTATCACATCAAGAAAAAGCGATTAGCACACGTTTTGAAACCTCAACGAACTAATTTTCCTTAATCATGACAACCGACAAAAAAAGAAATTTATGGTAAAATGAAGAAACGAGCAGCTCGGCTTTCAAGATCACCCGCTATAGAGAATAAACTAATACAAAACACACATCCAAGAGATCCAAGAGCAAGGAAACATTATTTCACCAAAAACCACCCATAGGCATTCAAAAGTCATACACTTATCTCCCAAGATTCAAGGTTTAAGAAAAATAAAAAAGATTAAAAAGATCGCATCCTTAATAAATCATCGGGATTGCTTGTCTAACCAGAAAGAGATGACAGCCAAGCCAGATCTCACAAAAAGGATTCATACTTGTTAATATTGTTGACACAAAGTTACAACAACATTGCACATGAAAACATGAAAATATCTTCAGATTCTACTTTTAATACATATAAAAAACAACAGAAGTCGTACCTAATCCACGTGTTAACAAAAGTGCCTGCCTGTTTTTTTTTTTTTTCTGTTCTTTTATTTTTTTCTTATCAAACAAGGACTGATCTCTATAATGCAGTTCTCAGATCAAAAACAAAAAACCTGAAGATCCCACAAAGAGAGGGGAAAAAAGAGCTGAGAGAATTAAATAGGCAAAAATAAAATCATGTATGGGGTGAAACACACACAGAGAGAGAGAGAGAGAGAGAGAGAGAGAGAGAGAGAGAGAGAGAGAGAGAGAGAGAGAGAGAGAGAGAGAGAGAGAGAGAGAGAGAGAGAGCTGACTAATATATACATACATAAAATGGAAAGGGGAGAAAACAATCACCTCTCTGATAATTAAGAAAGTTGCAGAGGAGAGAGAGAAAGTAGAGGAAAAGAAGGGAAGGGAAAGAAACGAGGGTGCAAAGAATGGGTATTTATAGAGTTGGATATGCCATAGAAGACGTGCTTAACAAGGTAAACCCTAAACAACCAGGTTGTTGAATCAGGAAACATCGCTCTAGTTTCCCCTTTTTAAACGTAAACCCTTAATGAAAAATCTGTCTAAATTGAATATTAATTAATTAATTAGTAGTATAATAAATAACTTCCCATTAATAAAACAACCTTCATATATATATATATATGCCGTTATCCCTCACAAATTCACTGGCCCTTCATAAATGTTAGACCATTTAATTAATTTTTTTTTATATAAAATATGAACTCATACTATATGGACCAAATTTATTATATTCATAAAAGTCACTAATTTGAATATTATAAAATTTAGAGTTATAAAAAATTTATATAATTTATATAATTATTAATTTTAGAATTTGTGAGATTAGTTAAATACACATAAACTAAAATGAATATCTATATTAATAAAAAACAATTGTTAGCTATAGTATTTATTATAGCATCTGATAATGAATTATATATAAGTTATATGTAGGCACAATTTTAGTTGGTGTGAATAATGAATAATAGGTTGATGTAATATATAAAATTGCTAAACATAAAAAAAATCTTCAAAAATATTGGATGGAATAATGAATTTTAAAGATTAGTATTTTTTTAATTTTTTTCTTGTTATTGTTTATATATAAAGTAAACTCGTCTTGGTTTGAGTAATGAAATTTATAATAAAATAAAAGGAAAAAAGAAAAATACTAATTTTACCTAAATAATTTAATCTATGAAAAAACAGGATGTGCTTGTTAATTAATTGTCGAGATCTTTAGAGCATCTCTAATGAAAAAAGCTAAATTAATAAAATGACTTTTTGAATAATATAAATATAACTTTTTTATTATGTGCATTCCACTGGTAAAAACTATTTAGAAAAGCCATTTATATTTTAATATATTTCATATTAAATTTATTTTTATATAATTATATAACTAATATATATATTTTATATATAATATAAATATAATGTTATTAATTATATAATTAATATGAGTAATTTATAAAAATAATATAAAATTTAATAAAATAATATGAAAGTTAAAAGATATAATTTAAAATTAAACTTAAAATTTATTTATATGAATATTTTTAATTTTCAGTTTTATATGTTACTATTAAAAATTTAATTTTTTAAAAGTAAATTCAAATTCAAACTTAAAAAAAAAAACCATCAAAATTTTCAATTTTGATTTTCAATTTTTTTAAAAAATTAATGCTTTGAAAAAATAATCGCCACCATTTTAAATTTTAAAATTTTAAATTTTGAAAAAATAACCACCAACATTCTAAGATTTTAAAATTTTAAAAAATAATCCATCTATAAATATTCTCATATACCTTAATATTTTTTCTCATCATTCCGTTGTTTTTTTTCTCCATTCAAAAATATATTTCATTAAAATTCATCATGAATCATTCTAATTTTAATTTTTATGATGCTTTTGATTTTGATGATGACACTCCTGTGTTCGCTTTTCAAGTTGCTGCTGTTATGGTTACTGAAAAAGAATCGAATAATTAAGGGCAAAGAATAAGGTACCGTGGTTCTATTCTTGACTACAATATTGTCAATCATAATAGAAAGGAAGGTAAGTTAAGGTTATATAATGATTATTTTGCTGAAAATCCTAAATTCACTGAAACTTAATTTCAAAGAAGATTTAAGATAAGTTGTCATCTTTTTCTTCAGATCGCAAATGTAGTGGAAGCTCATAATCCATATTTCAAACAAAGGACAAATGCTCTTGGTGTTATTGGTTTATCTTGTTTTCAAAAGGTAACTGCAGCTCATAGAATACTTACTTATAGTATTCCTACAGATCTTACTGTTAAATATCTTCAAATTGGAGAAAGCACTACGATAGAAAGTTTTAGAGCTTTCGTCAAAGCAATCGTAGAATTTTTTGATGATTGGTATCTAAGGGCACCAAACATGGCCGATATTTGTCGGTTATTATCAATTGGAGAGTAGCATAGATTTCCAGGGATGTTAGGGAGCATTGATTATATACATTGAAAATGAGAGAAATGCCCAATTGTATGACATGGGATGTATACTGGTCATTGTCGTGAACCAACTATAATTCTAAATGTAGTGGTTTCACAAGATCTTTGGATATGACATGCCTTTTTTGGAATGCCTGGATAATTAAATGATATTAATGTTATTAATCGATCACCTATCTTCGTTGCACTTGCTGAAGGTCATACTGCTCCTATCAATTATATAATTAATGGGCATGAATATATAATGGGATACTATTTAACAGATGAGATTTATCCTAATTGGTTTAATTCTTCAATCATTTCACTTTGCTGACGATTTTCAATTTGAGTAACAAAATCCAACAAATTTACCAACTATTTCTTGCCATCTATTTGAGATGCTTATTTGGGAACAATTATTCAAGTTTCCTCCATTCTCTACAAAGTAAGCATGTACTCGAGTCTAGAACTATTTTGTTTATTGTTTAACTCCTATAATTGGATCTTTGCTTGTATTTAGGTTTACAGAGACAAGTATACAATCTTCTTCTGGTGAGTTTATGATTTTTTTATTGGATGGACATTTAAATTCAAGTATGTTAAGTTATTAATTAATTGATTAGAATCAATTGGATGAGAGAGAATATCTTAACTCACTGATAAGAAAGTTGGCGAAAGAGCTTGGAAAATTTGAATCCATCTACATTTAAAAAAACATCAAGTTAAAACCTTATAGGAGAGTGTAAAAGAAGCACACATTCAATGTCTAACAATTTTATAGTTTATATACATGTGAATTAATAACAAGCATTGCATCCTACTTGTTCTAACATTACAATTTGACTATTTTTTGGAACTAAGAGAGGATTAATATACTGGTTTAATTGCATTTTCAACAAAACAAAATATAATTAACCTCAAATTAAAATAAACAATAAAAAATAAATTTTAAATATGTCCCTCTATATGTTTATCAATATCGGCTACCATTATTACTTTCTCTTAATTTTGTCAAAGATAACAACATAAATAAAAAATTGTTTTCCTTAACCCATATCAAAAACATAAAATAACAAAAAAATAACAATCATCACAAATATCAAATTAACAACAAATGGTCTAAAAAATTAACAAATATAAAAGAGAAAATAAAAAAACTTTCTTTAATTTCAGTTAATTAACACAACCGATGTTATAAATTAACCAAAGAATAATTGATTTTTGTTTTTTCTAAATTTGAGAGAATAGTGAGGCATAATACAAGATTAAAAAAAAAAAAAGCTTCTTTCCTTGCTTTTAAAGAAAAAAAACAATGTTGACTAACAGTTATAAAAATAGTCGTTGGCAACGTTAATTCCATTTTAGCTATTTTATTGAAACCTGTAAAAATAACTCTTCTCAAATTGAATAGCCATTTTGGCTTCTCTTTTACCTGCTTTGTTAAAATAGTAAAATAAAAAAAATAAAAGTTAAAAGAACACGCTTTTAAATTTGCCTCTTCATTTGCTTCTCTAGTTATAGATGCTCTTAGGATTCTAAAAGGTAATTCTATAATAATAGCATTATTAATATAAAAAATAAAAATAAAAAGATACAAGAGCCTTAATTAACTGATTGATTAATTGGAATAATTTAAAATAGAAAGCAGTAGTCGTAGTAAAAGAGAAGGGTTGATGTTTATGAGCCTGTTTGCATTATTGCTGAATCATAATTTCAGTATTTTTTTAATTTAAATTATTTATCTAATGTTTATGTATAAAAATAAAATTTAAAAAATAAAATAAATATTATTTTAATATATATATATATATATATATTTTATAAAAAAAAAACAGCAATATCTAAGACACTACTGAACACAATCTCATTTACACAGTTGCATTGCATAGAAAACAGTAATAGCCGGAGGTTAGAGAAAGAGGGACAGGTCACAGGAGTATTAAAATGGTGGCATCTGAAAAAACATAAGGAAAGAAGAGGCCACATGTCAGTTTACTGGGGGTTCATGTTGCAAAACGCGGCCAGATTTAGCGCTCCCGTCTATTTCATGCACCGTTGGCATTTTTAGAGCCCTGTTTGTTTGTTTTTGGTTTTTTAACTCACAGAAAAACACTTGCTAGCTAAATTCCACTTTCTCCGTCTTTACGATCTCCTTGCTTCAATCCGATTTCAAGTGGAGGTTTAATGGCGGTCTTTGTCACTTGCGCTGTTTGAAAGGAGTTCATCAACTCCATTACCTTAGGATATATAGGGCTTAGACTACATGAATTTATTAATTATTTATCACACCAGTATTGATACGATTTAATCTTTTTTTAAGTAAGAACATTATTAAAAAATGAAATTATAAGTCATGTGAATCTTAAAGTAAAATATAAAATTGTATATGATATTTAATTTAAATGAATAAAATACCGAGCAAATCAAGAAGATCTTGAGTGATGGATACTTTCATATTAATTATATTTAAACATAAAAATAAAAATGTAATTAAGCCCTTCGTCTACTCATTTTGATTGCTTTTGCTTTTGGTGACATAAACAAAATAAATATAAACATGTTTAATTGAGTTGATATATATATATATATATATTCAAATATTTAGAATGCAATTACAAGATTCATATTTTTTTAACATAAAAGAAAATAAATACTAGAACTACTTATACTTTCACTTAAATGTGTGTATCATAAAACTAAAATTTTCGTATTGATGAAATATATCATCCAATAAAGTTATCAAATTTATGGGATTTGGGTTTTATAAATTTGAATAGGGTAAAACAATCTTGGATTATAAAAAGATGTATTTAATGTTATTGTGTTGTATTGCGAGATAAAAGTAGCGTTCGGTAACAAATTTAATATAATATGCTTATAAATATTTTAAATAGATAAATAATATTTAATGATGCATGTTTCATAACCTCATATGACTTGTGTGCATGTTTGCATGTTTTTTTTATGAGAATGATTCTTAATTCACACACATATATATATGTGTGTACAAGGATGAAGCTTTTCGATGAGCTAGAGC